CACTTTGCTGGACCGCTTGGCTTGTTACAAAATGTGGAAAGACAACAGATCTACTGGCAGGATTAACACATAAAAAACCTAACGGGACATGAGAAAAAAAATAAACACTGCTGTTGTAATGTTATTCATAGACTGCATCATCAATGTAATTTTTGACCATAATTCTGCTGTAACTACAGCTGTTTAAAGACTGAGAAAACCCAGGTTACTCAGAAATATAGTATATGTGTGGAAGCATTTAAAGGAGAAGAAACCACAAACTAAAGGCTTCAGTAATCTTTATTTATTACAAGCATTTATATAGCTTCCACACTTTATGCAGTGCTTTACATACTGTACCATTGACAGCAGTCCCTGTCCTCAAGGAGCTTACAATCTAAGGTCCCTATCTCACATGCATACATACTCATACTAGAGCCAAATAATCTACCAGCATGTATTTGGAGTGTGGGAGAAAACCAGAGGAAATCCAAGCACAAGTACAGGGATAACATGCTAACTGCATGCAGATAGCATCTTGGCTGGGATTCAAACCAAGGAACCGAGTACTGCAAGGCAGAAGGGCTAAACACTAAAGCACTGTACTGTCCATCTGTGTTAATATTCATAAAATGAATGCACAAGTTCAAAAAGATGTGTAATAATTTATCTAACCTATTATCATAACATACATTTCACTAACAGGGGAAGTGTAGATCCTGTTGGGCATTTGCAGCAGTTGGTAATATTGAAGCACAGTGGGGAATTCAAGGATTTCATAGGAACCTCTCAGTGCAACGTAAGCATTTTTTTAATTATACAAACCATGTTATTGAGATTTATTTCCAAGCTTCCTTAACATTTTCTCCACTACATGTAAAATGAAAATCTGCTACAGACCCCTTTATGCAGTAATGCAGGGACCTACTCAGCTGATTAGCTATCATCACATGTTATAAGAGGCTCACTTTTCCGACTGTCTCTTTCAATTTTCTGATCGAAGGATGCCAGACAGAAGGGTGCCAACAGGGCCACCCACTGAACAAATTTTGACTGGTTCATCAAGAACCGGACGGTATTGGTACAGTGTAGGTGTAGGTGTTGGAATTCCAAATCCTCTGAAAATGTATTTGTATTGTCTCCCAATTCTAAACACATTTGTGATGCTCATTATAAAGGAGTCCCACTCTTCCTCTTTATTTATTTTTGCTATGCAGAAAGCATTAGGAGGGACAAAAACAAGGAAAGTTGCTTGGGGATACCCAAAACTTCCAGATGAACGTGAATAGAGTTGGAAAATATAGCAATGAAGTGTCACTATTGGAGCATTCAAGACATATAAGATGCCAGGGACTACTCACTTTTAAATCTATCTATCTATCTATCCATCCATCCATCCATCCATCCATCCATCCATCCATCTATCTATCTATCTATCTATCTATCTATCTATCTATCTATCTATCTATCTATCTATCTATCTATAGAGGAGTTCAGAGCAAATGACAGCGGCCAGTATGTACAGGAGAGAAGTGTCGAGTACAAGGCAGTGGGCAGTATGTACAGGAAAGCAGTGCAAGTGGTTGTAAATAGCTGTTGACTAGATTTAGCTAACTCTTCTTTTATTCATGTATATCATCAGTTAGGTTACTCAATAAGGGGTTATTTGCTCATTTAGTTGAGAATCTCATACCCTTTAACCACTATTAAAGAAAATTGTATGGCCCATGTATATTGGGAGTGTGGGTGTTTGTTCAGCCTTCCGTACCAGGCCCAGGCCCCATTGGGTAAACAGGGGGACCCAAGCCCAGCACAGGCTGTCTGTTGCCCCATTATTTCTAGAGGCAGCCCTGGGTATCCTGCAGGAAACTTTAATTGACCCCAAGTGACCACTACTTGGAGGGGGAGGTGCTGGGGTGGGCACCCCTATTCAACTCTCTCCTACTCATGTGGTGTATATGTGTATCAGCTCTGTTGGCACAATTATTGTCAGAGCTTTCCTTCTTCTCTTGGAGCCCCAGAAGAGCCGAGGCCCCAGCTGACACCAGGAGCTCCTGTGTTTGGATTACCTACCAATGCCATTCTTTGATCTGTGTATATTGCTGCTGGCTCCCATCTGTTGGGCCCCTTAGGCCTGGTTCCTGATAAGAGCTGCTCATCCCACTGCTCCTCCTTGTTGGTGCTATGTAGAGGCGGCTCTAGACTTTGTGAGGCCTTAGGCGAAACTCAAACTTGAGGCCCCCACTTACACCCATAATGGAAAAAAAATGCAAACGATAATAAAAAATTAACTGTATCAGTTGCATATTTTAAGACTAGCCTTTAATCCCAACAGCCAGGAATTCACAACTCCTAGAGCTAGAACATTATTTCTGTCTCTTATCTAATTCTACAAATAACTATACACAAAACCCTAACCCTAGGGAAGTAATGCACAAAATGCAAAGGTGAGTAGTAAGTAACACACAGAGGACAGAGGTCAGTAGTAAGAAACATACAGAGTGCATCGGTCAGGAGGTAATGCACAGACTGCAGTGGTCAGAAGGATCTGATGCACATAGTGCAGATGGAAGTAATGCACGGAGTGCATCGGCCAGAGGAAAGTAAAGTACAGAGTGCATCGGTCAGAGGGAAGTAAAGTACAGAGTGCATCGGTTAGAAGGAGGTAACGCACAGAGTGCATCGGTTAGAAGGAGGTAACGCGCATAGTGGAGAGGTCAGATGGAAGTAACGCACAGAGTACAGAGGTCAGAAGGAAATAACGCACAGAGTGCATCGATCAAAAGGAAGTAAAGTACAGAGTGCATCGTTCAGAAGGAGGTAAGCCACAGAGTGTAGCGGTCAGGAGGTAACGTACAGAGTGCAGAGGTCTGTAGTAAGAAATGCACACACAGAGTGCATCGGTCAGAAGGAGGTAACGCACAGAGTGTAGCGGTCAGGAGGTAACGTACAGAGTGTAGCAGTCAGGAGGTAACATAGTTACATAGTATTTGAGGTTGAATAAAGACATTAGTCCATCAAGTCCAACCTATTAGGATCTCATTCTAGGAGTACCTGTACCCCTGTATATTACCTGTACCCCTGTATATTACCTGTACCCCTGTATATTACTTGTACCCCTGTATATTACCTGTACCCCTGTATATTACCTGTACCCCTGTATATTACATGTAGTAACGTACACTACACTAGTAACGTACATTACACTAGTAACGTACAGAGTGTAGCGGTCAGGAGGTAATGCACAGAGTGTAGCGGCCAGAAAGAGGTACCCACAGAGTGCAGCGGTCAGGAGGTAATGCACAGAGTGCAGCGGTCAGGAGGTAACACACAGAGTGCAGCAGTCAGACAGAGGTAATGTATCAGAGTGCAGCGGTCAGAAGGTCAGTGGCCCCCAAAACACCCAGCATTCTTAAGATCCAGTAGTTAAATGTTATAAGAGGCTACCTCCTAGGCATACAGTACCTGCTTTTAGTATACGGTACTGTATGCCTAGGAGGCACAAAACAATCATATACCTTCTTCTCCTTCTTCTCTGCCAGCTCCTCCTTTCCACCCTCTGAGTCCATGCCACTGCTCGCTGCTGCAGGGGCATGTGTGTCACCCCGGGCAGGCTCCATCCTCTCTCTCTCTGCCAGGGCTGTGGCTGTGGAGGCGGGAAGCTCCGGAATGCTAGGGCCTCTGGTAGGTACCACAGTACTAGAGAGGGGAAACCTCGGGCAGTCCACGCAGGAAGAAGAAGCAATCATGTAGGGGGGTGCGGCATCCCCAGTCCACGGGTTCCGCCACGGCTTCACTTCAGAAAAAAGTTGTAGAGGCGAGCAGGGGTCTATCTAAAAATCACAGCGCCCCATGGCAACATTTTGTATGGGGCCCTGTGATTTCTAGTTACGCCCCTTGCAGAGCCCACCTGAGATCCCACACAGCCCGCCTGAGAGTGACCCTGCAGAGCCCACCATAGACTGTCTATGGTGGGCTCTGCAGGGTCTCAGGTGGACTGGTCACACCCCTGCACACCTCTTACTTGTCAGCCCCGATTGGCTGTCAGCCTTCTCCACCGTCGGGCCTGGCCTCTTCCTCCACCCCCGCCAGGCCCTGCCTCCTCCTCCGCTGCCGGGCCCTGGTCAGTGATCTGGACAGCGGCTCGTTCCTCCTCACAGCCACCAGTGACAGTCAGCAGCTTGTGATCAGGGCTGGTGCAAGGATTTTTGCCTACACAGGCGAAGGTGCATTTTTGCCCCCCCCCCGGCGCCCTCAGACGGCTGCCTATGTACTCCACTTGTAGTTATTTAACTCTACCTCCTATCAATATTACTACATGTCTGTACCTCGGTACGGGCATGGACGGGAGTGGAGATCCGATACCATTTTTTCTAGGCCGAGTACAGGTACGGATACGTTTCCTCAAGTACTCACAGATACAATTACCGATACCTTTGTTTTAGTGTCATGTGACAGTTTTTCTAAAACAATGCAGACTAATGATTTTAGGACAATGGTGGAGCGCCAGGGCCCTGTCACAGCTGCAACTGCTGCCACCCTAGTAGTTTTGCCACTAAAGAATAATACCATCAGCTATAGAGGACTACAAATCCCAGCAACACATTGTACAACAATGCAGAATAAAAGTATAGTTTGCTACATACTTTGTGATGCCGATCTGCTTCAGAGTACAGATCTGATGTCTTGGCAGAGGGTCTCAGGAGGGGAGATGTCTAGGCGGCTGAAGCCCTGTAAGCAGGCGTTGCGTGGTTCCCCAGAAGGCTGCTGCACGGGACCTAACGCAGCCGAATCAATTTGAAAAATGTAATTGCCGAGATGCAGAGGTCAGTTGTAATGCAGAGTACAGAGATCAATAATAACACAGAGTGCAGAGGTCAGTGATAATGCAACGTGCAGAGATCAGTGGTGTGACGCAGAGTGCGGAGGTCAGGGTTGTGACGCAGAGTGCGGAGGTCAGAGGTGTGACGCAGAGTACAGAGATCAGCGGTGTGACGCAGAGTGCAGAGGTCAGAGGTGTGATGCAGAGTATGAAGATCAGTGGTGTGACGAAGAGTGCGGAGGTCAGAGGTGTGACGCAGAGTACAGAGATCAGCGGTGTGATGCAGAATGCGGAGGTCAAAGGTGTGACCATGAGTAAAGAGATCAGTGGTGTGACACACAGTACAGGGGTGTAACGCACAGTACAGAGGTGTGATGCACAGAACAGGGGTGTGACGCACAGTACAGGGGTGTGACGCACAGTACAGGGGTGTGACGCACAGTTCAGGGTGGGATGCATAGTACAGGGGTGGGACGCAGAGTGCAGATGTCGGACGGACAGTATGAAGATGGGACACAGAGTGCAGGGGTGTGACGCACAGTAAAGGGGTGTGACGAACAGTACAGGGGTGTGACACACAGTACAGAGGTGGGACGCACAGTACAGAGGTGAGACGCACAGTACAGAGGTGGGGCGCAGAGTTCAGGGGTGAGACACAGAGGTGTGACACACAGTACAGAGGAGGGAAGCAGAGTGCAGAGGTGGGACGCAGAGTACAGAAGTGGGACTGAGACTTACAGTGCATATAGATCGACTGATGTTCTAATTCAGGTGCTCTGCCCTCTTCCTCTCCTGGTGGGGGAGTAGCAATGTTTCCTGTTCCTGTGAAGCCTTCAGTCCAGCATGGTGCCACCAGCAGCCTTCCTGTTCCCAGGACCCACTCTCCTGCTGTCAGCCGGCCAACGGAGAAAGCTGCACGTTGCCGCCGAGGAGCCCGACTATTGAAGCAGGCATTCAGAGGGCAGCTGAATTGGCTTTTCTCCTCCCCGGCCGCTGCAGCTACAGAGCGGCCCGGGAGGAGAGAGATGACAGGTGTGATCGCCGCTGTGGTGGCCATGTAAAGGGGCCTCAACTAGTCCACTCCTGCATTTTTACAATAGCCACAGGAGGCGAGTTAGGTGGCTGCGAGGCCCACGTGAGGGCGAGGCTTTTGGCGACTGGCTAACTCGCCTAATTAGAGAGCCGCCTTTGGTGCTATGTGTGTGCACCTCTATTATTCTTAATATGTGTTGCATGTATTGCATGGTCTAGTATGCAGCTGTGTGTGTATGTCTCTCTCTCTCAATATATATATATATATATAGATATCTATATATATCTATATATATATATATTTATAGTATATATACACTTCACTAGAGCAAGCACTTGCCCAGGATCTCATACCTGGTGCAATACATGACATACACCTGACCCCTGTACTTTGTATTTTACATACACCTTGTGAATAGGGTCAAGTTTTAAGCTGCTCTCACTTGCGGTATTGCCGCACTGATAATTTGCACTGAGTGTGCATCCTCCTTTTTCTCCTCTGGGTGCCAAGGGGGCTTTCACATTTCTACACCTCTGTGGGGGACCCTCTCATCTAAGTTGTACAGGGCACCATGATTTCTAATGTATGGAAGGGCCTGAATAATTTGTACCAGGCACAAAGTTACTCCATATTTGGAGACTGGTACTTTTCCTGTATTTATACACAGAAAAAAAAGTAGTTCATACATAGAAATAAAAAAATATTCTGGGTATTTGTTCTTCATTCTGGTGTCCTACATACCAGAATTGCCTTTCAGATGCAGCTAAGTGCATTCTTTTGGTACTGACTGACACACAATACAGTATATATATTTTCTATTTTTTTGTTTTGTTTTTGAAGGTGGATTAGCTAGCGAGGAACAATACCCATATGATGCTGTAAGAAAAGTGTGTAGGAAAGACCTTCAACCTGTAGCATGGATCCATGATTTTCAGATGCTTCCAAAAAACGAGACAGGTAAGAATGGTCGTATTGTTGCCTAGACTTCTTTACAACTAAATCAGATAGTTATAATAAAGAGCAATAAAATACCTTTCACTTGGTACTTCACTTTCATATTAGCTCTGTTATTTTTACCTACTCAGAGATGTTAGTGAACTCATTGTTATGTTGTTATGTGCTTACCTTAGTGATTTACCTTAATAATTTGTCATGTGGCCTCTCCTTTTTTTATATACATGCTCTTCCTTTTTATGGTAATTACATGTAGAACTTTGTCGATTTGCCACCAGAAGCTGGGAAGATAAGCTACTACAATGACTTCGCTTGTCTGCTTAACAAGTGTTAAAAAAAATATATCAGCTACACAGGGAGTGAGTGGTTTTCAGTTAGTCGGATGCCTTATAGCAGGGGTGCCCACTATTTTTCGTCTGGAGATCTACTTTTCAAATGACGAGCTCATTGAGATCTACCAACGAAAAAACACCTGCATTCAGGGGCGGGAGGGGGCGTGGGCTGCGCAGGCAGGCCCCTCGCCCACAGTGCGATCGCCTGCATTAGTGCCTGTGTTCCAGTGCAGTGCGATCCGCAAAAATGCTGCGAGCACTATTTTTGCAGATCGCACTGGACCGGAATGCAGGCACTAATGTGCCTGCGTTCCGAGTGCGGGCGATCGCAATGTGGGCGATGCCATTGAATTCAATACAGCTCCACACCCCCTCCCGCACCGGAACGCAGGGAGTCGGCCTGCTTACATTCCAGTGCATTCCAGTACATTACAGGTCCCGGCGTCCTGTCCTCCCGTGGTGCTCGTGCGACTGACGTTGCACATGGGGTGTCCTGCACCTTTCCATCTGCAGCGTCTGACACATTCAGCCGGCAGCCGCACGAGCACCACGGGAGAATAGCCGTAGCCAGCTCCTTTTGCGCCTGAGGCAAGGAAAAAAAACAGTTTTTTTAATTTATTTTTTACTATTTTTTATTTTATTTTCATTATTTATTTTAAATTTTCATAATTTTTTTTTTTTTAACTCTTGGGGGGGCTTCGGGGAAATATTAGGGGTCTAAAAAGCCCCCTGATATTTCCCTTTTAAAATAGAAAAAGAAATTGAGGACACAAAGTCCTCAATCTCTTTTTCTGCAGCCTCTATTCTAAATGAATGGAAAGCACAGAGGCTTCCCATTCATTAAGAAAATATTTTACTATCAAGCTGTTTCTGAATGGGGAGGAGCCTCTGTACAGAGTGCTTCTCCCCATTGAGAAACTTATGAATGAACAGGAGGTGATGTAAATCACCTCCTGTTCATTCATTTATAACTGGGGACACATAGTACTATGTGTCCCCAGTTATTTACAAACACTGGAGTGATCAGCCGATCGCTCCAGTGTTTGTCCTACACAGAGGATTGGTACATACTAGTGACATGTACTGATCCTCTGCCGCTCGGCCACGCACAAATGGGCTCAGCTTCTCCTCTGCATCCCCCCTGCTCTCCCGGGCAGAGGCAGCGGGGGATCCGACGAGAAGTGAAAGAGCACTTCAGCCGCGGGGGGGGGGGAGGTGCGGTGTCGGAGCCGCTGTGACAGAACGGACGAGCAGTGAGGGGAGAGAGAGGCGCCGGCTGTCAGATCCTGGCCGAGCGTCTCTCTCTCTCCTCACTGCTGCATTAGTTAGTGACAGCGGCTCTGTCCTCCGCCCTCCCCCGCCGCCGGTTCCTTCACTTCTTCTCGGATCCCCGCTGGATCCAGAGAAGCGGCCGGAGGAGAGGACATGGCGATCTACCAGTGATCGCTACGCGATCGACTGGTAGATCGCGATCGACCTTGTGGGCACCCCTGCCTTATAGCATACGTGTCAAACTCAAGGCCTGCGGGCCAGAACCGGCCCGCCTGATGATAATTAATTATCATTAGATCTGGCCCTGCCCGCCGACAGCTCTCCCACGCTGCCTGCGGCGATCTTCAGGGGACTGAGGAGCCGGAGAGCTGCCGCCGTCCAGAGGACTGCATTACCCCACAGGCAGCCTGGCAGCAGCACAGCGTGACAAGGGAGGTGTGGCGATGAGGTGAGGTGACTGAGAGGGGTCTCGAGGTCCAGTCCAGATGTCGTGAGGTGCTCCTTGGCGGAAATCAGGATCCAACACAGACGACAGACAGCCGGGAGAGCTGCAGCTTGCAGGTACTGTGCTGTGACACAGTCAGTATATCTCTCCCCTTCTTGTCCATCACTTCTTCTGTACTGTAGAAGTGATGGAAAGTAGTATCTGTGACACCTGTGTGCCTTCTGCCTCCACACTAGTATGTAATATAATTTTATCTCTATTATTTAAATTATAGTAAAAAAGTATGTGGACTCCATACTGTCCCCATTGAGCACTTTTTTTTTACAGTAATTTAAATAAAGATAAAACTATTTTTTAAAACGTCTCTAATTGATGATTTTCCAGATGGAAAAACTTTTTCGTAAGTAAATTATTTGTAAATGCTCTGCACTATTTAATGTCTGTTTTTGGCTTTTATTATTTCAATATTTAGGCTATTTCTTAAAGGGAAAAAAAAAGTAAAAAAAATTATGTTTTATTGTATTTATGTATCATGCTTTTTAATAATTAAAAGTACAGGCTTTGTTATTATACTGTGTGATATACTGTATATGCCGCTATATTCAGTATCAGGGTATCCTTTTAATAAAGGGGCACCCAGATGCGCCCCCCCCACTTGTGAATGAGTAAAGGATTAAATAAAATTGTAAAAAAGAAGCCAGACTTTTGAAAAAATCCTTTATTTGAAAAAAAAAAACAAAAGACAAGTTTTTGACAAGTCTTTTATTTAAAAAAAAAAACCCAAAGGAATGGATCCACTGACGTAATCCAGTGTCAATCATGTAGTCCTGCGTTGTCCACAACAACGACAACTCGAGGGAATAAAAAATAAAACAATAAGAAAATAAATTGAAATATTAATAAAAAATAAAGAACGACAACCTGTTCGTTTGCGATGAACACCCGGCGCAGAATGGCATTTTGACATTGCCAGCAACATATAAACAATTGGGCGGAGCTAGCAGTGACAGCTAGCTCCGCCCAACAGTTTACAGTTGTAACAGGTAAGCCATGATTGGGCAAAGTCATCATGTCTTTGCCCAATCATGGCTCTTACAGAGTACTGGGCCCTGATTGGGCAAAGTCTTGCACCTGACCTGTGATCAGGTGCAAGGCTTTAGTGTATCAGGGCTCACAAGGCACAGTGCCTTGCAGGGCACTCGGCAGGCGAACAGCCCGCCAAACGCCCTGAAAATTTGTGTGTTCGCCAAACACACGAACTGCCGATGTTCGAGTCAAACTCATGTCGACTCAAACATTGAGCCCATCTCTATTGGCAAGTACCAACGATATAAGTGCAATAGGCATATTTTCAATTATTTTTGCAAATCTTTATAAATCACCTGGTATTTCTTTACTTCCTGTCAGCTTCCTGTTTCCTTTCTCAGCATTGCTTTGGACTGGGAATAATGTCAACAGGACATGCTAGTGCTGCCAATATTGCTTTTCCAGGTTTTCTTGCTCTGAATGTTAGTGATGTTTGATGGCCAGATTGTGGAGCATGCCACAGAACATGACAGGATCTGCAACTTTGGATGGAGACAGTGGCGGACCTAATAACCAAAGGGCCCTGGTGCAAGATTTTATCTTGGGCCCCCCTCCCAAGAC